AAAATTATGTAATAATTAGTTATAAAAATAATTATATATATAAACTAAAATAATTAAAAAATTATAAAATATAAATAAATAATAAATATAAAAATATATATATATATATATTATATGTTTTTATTTATTTAATAAGACTAAAAATGATAAATATAAAAAATAATAAGTTTATTTAGAACTAAATAATGAAATAAAATATAAACACTAAGATTTACGAAAAAATAAAAATGTAATTTTTTTTATATTATTATTAAATATCTATACTATATAAATAATAGTAAGTATTTTCAATAGTAGGAACTCCAGATTATATAGCCCCTGAAATGTTTTACTAATAAGAATATACTGAAACTGTTGATTGGTGGAGTGTAGGAATTATATTATTTTAAATGTTAATTGGATTTCCCCCGTTTTTTTGTGAAGATACAAAAGAAACTATATTCAATATAATGAATTTTTAAAAAACATTTATAATTCCTGAGTAGGCGAACCTTTCTTTAGAAGCTGCTGATTTAATAAAAAGACTAATTTAAGATTAGAAGCAAAGATTAGGTAAAAATGGGGTTTAGGAAATATAAACTCATCCTTTTTTTAAAGGAATTGATTGGAAAAAAGTTGGGGAATACAAGCCTTTTTATTTTCCGAATATAGACTAGAATAATGAAGTGTTTTTAAATGAAAATAATAGTTTTTTTTTATCGTAAAAATTAGAAGAGAAAATTTAAAATAAAAACGAAAAGTTTTTTTTGGGTTTTTCCTTTATAAAAAACAAAGAGGAAGAAATTTCCCCAATTCAAAAGGCGATTTAAAAACTCGAAAAAAATTAATCTTTTTTACACTAAAAAAATAAAATTTCGGAAACTGTAATTGAAGAAAATGAGAAAATTTAAAAAAATAATATTAAAATTTTATAAATAAACACAAGTTTTATCACTGAAAAAAACAAAGGGAAATAAAGTTCTCCTTTAAGTTAAAAAAACACTTAAAATACTACTTATTTAAAAGAAATAAACGATAATTATACCTAAACATCATTTAATTTAAATGAAAAAACTTAATAAAATATATTAAATTAAGTAAAAATACAATATAATTTTTAATAAATATTCGAAATTTAAAAAAATAACTTCAATAATAATTTATAATTCTATTTATTTTAAAAAGCCTATTATGGGAATAAAAATGATCATTTTATGTAATAACAAGACTTTAGTATAAATTAATAATACTAATTTTTAAATTAATAATAAACTCTTTTAGGATAAACTTATAATTAGTTAAATGAATAAATAGAAGTTGAAAAAAATATAATTTTATAAAATATCAATTATTCCAAAAAAAATATATGAATATATAAAAATCTAAATCTTTTTTTTTTTTTTTCGTTATTATTATTCACCGCTTTTTAAAACCATATTTTTTCCTTTCGTAAAACAAATCCGTTTTAGCTGAACCTAAATTTATAATTTTTGGGCATCCATCCCTATCTTTTTCTAATTATACACATTCTTTACAATAATAAGCATCTGATATTCCTGTACCTCCACAAATTACACATCTTCCTTAAAATGATCCATAATTACATTCATCGCAAACTTTTACTAAACCACATGGGCGTACATATGAATCACAAATAACACATTTTCCGTCACATTTTTCGCATAATCTTCCTATAGATATACCTGGTTATTTTCTACACATTATTAAATCTGGATGATGTTTTGCCATTTAATTTTTTACGATTTTTTTCTTTTTATGAATAAATAATTATTAATAGAAACAAATATTTATTATATTTAATTTTTAGTTTTATATATTGTGATAAATAAATATAAAAAAAATATAAAGGAATATATTTTTTAATATATATATATATATAGGTATATAAATAATAAAAAAATTTAAAATAAATTAAGAATTATTTTTATAGAACTTTTTAAACTTCTTCTTTTTAAAAAAAAAATAAAAAAAAGGTAAATTATCAAGAAGTTTTTATTAGTTTATTTTTTTCATTTCTTATATTTATTTTAAAATTTTATTAAGTCTTATTTCTTCCCTTAATAAATAAATTAAATTTTATAATCTAATAATTATTATTTATTTTATATTCTTCAATTTATTATTGATTTTATTTAAATAATTTATTTTTTTATTCTCTTAGTTTTCTAATTCTAAAACTAGTTCCTATATTATATCATTTTGATTATATATTTATTATTTAAATTTAATTTTTTATTCTTTTAAAAATAGGATTTCGTTTTTTATAATAAATCAAAATTTTTGTTATCATTATTTGATTTTTATATGTTATTTACATTTAATGTATTTAAATTAAATATAGATTTATTAATAATATATTTTTTAATAATTAATTATATTATTTAGATTTTAAAATTTGTTTATTTCTAATTTTTTTGTTAAAGATATAAAGATTTTTTTTTTTAGAAAAAAAATGCCTAAATTGCTTAATTTCTTAATAAATAAGAGAGCTTTTTAGGATATATAAGTTTTTTTTTTTGTTAAAATTTAAAAGAATTGATATAATATAATAATTATATTGATTTTTTAAAATAAAAAAACAAATATACATCAAAATAATTAAGACCTTTTCGTAAAAATCTCATCAGTAATAATATCTTATACATTATTTGATTTAATTTCCTAAACAATCATTTTCATTCCTTAAACATTAACTCCTATAATATCCCTTTCTTTTTATAAATTACATCTGAGTTATTTTCTAATACTAATCAATAATTACACTAATTTTTTCGAATTTAAAATATGCTTTTCATGTGCATTTAATAAATAGAAAAGAATTCTTGATGAAAGTTCCAAATAAATATTATTTTAAATAAAAAAGTTCAAATAATAAATAATCTTCTCTACATAACTTACATGTAAAAAACTCAAAGAATTTTCCAATTCTGTAGTCTTTATTTTACTAATAACCATCCCAACATATTCAGGAATAGAAAGTCCATAAATCTAATCAAAACATGGTCTTTCCGTTACTTATAATTCTTTTAAAATTCCCTTGTTTTTTTCGTAATAAATTTTATCATTTTCAAATTAAATATATTCTTCCCTTAAACTTTCCGCAGTATCAATAGCAGCCATAATATCTTCTCCACACTTAAGATTTTCATATTTTTTTTTAATGGCCTATCCAACTTCTAAATCTTATAATTTGGCATTATTGGCATTTTTTTTTTCTTTTTCTTCTACTTCTCTTTTTAATTGTTCTTTAGTATAATCTTCAATGAGCATTTTTTCCATTCTTTTTTCTTCCTCTTCTTATACGAAAACTTAGTCTTTAGTTTGTTTATATTTTCTTATTAATTTATCCCCACTTCCGCAAATGAAAAAATCACCAATTTTTCCTATTGCAATACTCCATATTTCTCCTAAGGATTCCTCAAAATGCATTATTTATTAAAAACTGTCACCATCCCAATATTTAACAATTCTGTCTTTACTACAAGAAAAAAAGTAATGAGTATCTTTTACAAACTAAACACATGTAATACCATCTGAATGTGCGAAAATAGACTTATGACAATTACCGAAATCCATGCCCCATATCTTCACATTCTTATCTGCACTACCACTGACTAAAAGAGCACCATCAGAAGATATATCGAAAGACATAATAGGTAATTTATGTCCATATAATGATAAAAATAACCTATCGGAATCTGAAAAATGAATCTATATAGTCTAATTTAAAAGAGATACGGCATAATAATAACCACTAGGTGTAAATTTAGCACATAAGACTTCATCTGGCATATCTAAAAATGGAAATTTTTATTATATATATAAAAATAATAATTACGTATAGATTTTATTTCTTATAATTAAATAATTCCTTTTTTTAATTTAATACTAATTACCAAAATTTTATTTTATTATCAGCACCACCTGTAATTATAACTATATTTTCATATCCTTCAGGCTATATATGAAAATTTATAGACCAAATAGCCGCCTAGTGTGCATTTTTTAAGTTCTGTATTATTTCTCCTTTAGGGATGTCTATTAAATATAAATTACCTTCTTTATCACCAGCTAGGAAAAATCGGTCTTTTGGTAAAAATGTTAAACATATAATTTAACTTGATTCAGTTTAGAAAGATTAAATATTCTAAAGATCTTCAGTTGTCCATAGTTTTATGTTTTCTCCTCCTCCAGATATCATATATGCTTCGTTTTCCGATATTGCTAGGGCTCTTATGGCTGATCTATGACCTTTTTTCAAAAAATTGTGAACGGATTAATGGGATAAGTAGGAAGTTTAATCATTTAGAGTAAATGTGAAAATTTCCATGTTGTTATTGTGATAATTTATAATAAAATTGTTCTTAGATTTAGGTTGTTTAGGTAATTAGTAATCACAAAAGTGAAATGAACGGATTTTTTTTAGAAATTAAATGTTGTGTGGTATTAGATTCTATTCAGAAAGTTTTTTTAGTGCAAATAATTTTAATTATTTTCCGTTGGTTCTTCCTCTTATGTTGCTTCGTAATTGTTGACTTGAATTTATATTTTTTTTAATTTTTTTTATCTTTTTTTTTCATTTTTCTCATATTCTTCAAGTGTTAAAATTTTATAAATTTCAATGGGTCTTTTCATTAGCTAATAATAATAAAAAATTATTAATAAAATATATATAGATATAAAAAATTATATGTAAATATATATATAAATAAATATATATAAAATATAAATATATATATATATATATATATATATTTATTTATCATATATATTAATTTATATTTTTTTGTAATACTTAATAAAAATAGGTATTGGTTATTATTAGTAAAGGTCATTTATGTTGGATGAGCGAAAGATTATTTTTTATAAATTCCAATATTTTCTACTATTTTATTTTATTTAGTTTAAGAATTTTATGTTGTTATAAATTTTAATACAATAACTTCATCGTTATTAGTTCCTAATAAAATAATTTTTTCTTCTTTATATAATGCCATATTCCATACTTAATTACTTAAAGAAGAAATAGTTTAAACACTAGATGCGATGGCCATATCCCATATCTTTAAATATATATAAATTCTTTTATTTTAAAAAAATTACTTTAAATAATCCATCTTTTGATGTTGATAATATAAATTCGTTTATTTAATTTGTATTATTATCTCTATATTTATAATATAATAAATCTGTTATTGAATTTTTATGTCCTGTTAATTTATATAATGCTTATTCTCCTAATAAATCCCATACAATTATAGATGTATCATCACTTCCAGATATTAATTAAGAACAATCATCATTAAATTAAATACAAGTAATGTTATTTTTATGTGCATTTAAATTACATTTAATAGAATAATCTTCTAAATTCCAAATTAATATATCACCATCTACATACCTGAATATATAATTTTATTAATTTATTTATTTTATATATAAATTATTTACCCAACTGCTAGTATTTTTTAATAATTTAGACTATTTGATAATGCCAAAAATGTCACTTCGGAATTTTTATCTTTATCGAATAAAATTTTCACGATTTCCTCAGTTTTACTATTAGTTATTGTTACATATTAACTATTACCAGAGAATATATAATTATCTTTATTAATTTTATTTTTATAAAGTAATTAAATAAAAATATTTTACCATTAGTTATTATATTAGATGAATGACCTGAAACGAGACCACATACATTTTCGAAAGTATATCTTAAATATGCTTTAACCATTTTTTTTTAATATTATTGTTTTTTTATTATATTAATATTAGATTTTAATTTTAATCTAAGATAATTTTAATAAATTAAAAAATATATATAAATATATATATATGTATATATATATATAATAAAAAAAAATACAATATATATTTTTTTATTTTAGAAAAATTATATTTTTTTAAATTAATTATTGTTAATAATGATTTTATTATTTTAATTAGTATAAATAGATAAATATGTTAAGTACATTTTAATTTTTACATAATAAACTTATAATTAGAATTAATTATAAAAAAAAAATATAAAAATTTGATTTTATAATAATTATATATATATTATATAAAACTATTTATAATATATATTATTTAATAATAAAAATATAATAAAATAAGATAAATTAACAAAAAAAAGATATATGGATCACGTACATAACGCAAATTGTAGTTGTAAAGAATATGCTGGAGTAGAAAATGCAACTGATTTATACACTTCAATTGATTTATAAGGAGTAAAAAATAGTATAATTATATATTATATATTATATATGTATATATATATTTATATATTTATATAAATTTTTTTTTAATTTATTTTAAGATTATGTGTTTAAATGAAGAATAAGAATCATCTGGTAAAAATGTATTTAGATCAGAAGAAGATAAATTTAATGATAATGACAAATTCGTATCTTCCGATGATCCTGATCCTGAATTAATATTTATAATTCCGTAAAATTAAAAATAATATTAATTATTTTATATAAATATATTAAAATTAAATTAAATTAAATTTAATTAATTAAAAAAATTAGATTTTTAAGTATTGTTAAACTAAAATCTATTAATATAATCGCTAGAAATTCTGATACAGGTCCTACAAATTTAAAAGTTTACATAAATCAAGAAAATGTTGATTTCTCTATTTTAGAAACAAAACCAGAAGAAGAATTTTAAATTGATGAAAATTTAGATGGTAATTCTTATTAATCTGTTAGATAAACTAAATTTTAAAATGTAAGTAAATTAATATTACATATATCAGCAGAAAATAAACAAAAAATTTCAATAAATTATATTGGATTAAAAGGTGAAAATACTAAAGTAGATTTATTAAATAATATATATATTTATATTTTATATATATTTTTTCTTTATATAGATGAAACGATAAATTGTTGAAGCTATTTATGAAGTAAAACCAATGGCGGCTGAAAATGATCCAGAAAAAACTATGTAATCATTAATGAAAGAAAATTTCTGAAAATTTCGATTTTTTAATCATATTATTTATAAATATCTATTTATGCTTTTTTTTAGTTATATATTTAATATTTATATAATTTAAGTATTTTTTTTATATTTTATAATTTAATATTTTTTAATATATTTATAAAATATATTAAATATTATAATTATAGTTGATTTTTTTCTTAGGTTAATCTATTTTTTTTTTATTAAATAAATATTCTTTTTTTTACATATAATTAAAATAAACTAAATAAGACAAAAAGAAATAAAATAAAATACAATAAAGAAAAAAATATATATATATATATTTAATTTATTTTTTATTTAAATAAAGAAAACAAATAAAATAAATAAAAAATTAAAAGAGTACATACAATTCCAAAAAATAAAAAATATTAAAAAATATGACAACCGAACAAAGTTATTTATCTGGAAATTTAAGAAAAGTAATAAGCCTAATAGATAGGCTTAGAGACGTCGGTTTATGCAGATATATAAGTCTTCCCCGTATAGCTGTTTTAGGATCCCAATCATCAGGAAAATCATCTTTATTAGAATAAATAGTAGGTTTAGACTTTTTACCTCGTGGAGAAGTAAAAAAACACTAAAAAAAAATATATATATATTTATATATATATATATAAATAAAGGGAACAGTAACTAGACGTCCATTAGAATTAAGATTAGTATATATTCCTAAGGAACAATTATCATAACCATATGGGGTATTTGAGGAAATTCCTGGTTAAAAATTTTCCAATTTTGAATAAGTTAGAGCCAGCATAGATAAATTAACAGATTAAATAGCCGGTGATAAAAAAGGAATAATTGATAAACCAATAGTTTTAACTATTTATTCTTCAACCTGCCCTGATTTAACTTTAATTGATTTACCCGGAATAACAAAAATACCAATGAAGGGAAGTGATTAGACATAGGACATAGAGAAAATCACCAAAAACATGGCCGCAAGATACTGCAAAGACCCAAAAACTATCATACTAACAGTCCTCCCTGCAAACGCTGATATTACAACATCCGATGGACTTTTAATGGCAAAATAATTAGATCCAGAAGGTACTAGGACTATAGGTGTTATCACTAAAATAGATATCATGGACAAAGGTACTGATGCCCGAAAAATGCTCAAAGGAGAAGACGTTAACCTTAAATTGGGATATGTAGGCGTAAAAAATAGGTCATAGGCGGATATTAATGCTAAAAAGACAGTATAGGAAAGTCTAGAAGATGAAGCTAAATATTTCGCAACTAGTCCTATTTATTCTTCATTACCTTCTCATCTTTTAGGTACTAAAAGTTTAACTAATAAACTGACAGATGTCTTATATTTTCATATTAGATAGAATCTACCGTAGATTATAAGTGAAATTTAAAAATAAGTGAATGAAAAAGAAGATAGATTGAAGGAATTAGGAATACCTATGCCGGATACTGAAAATGAAAAAATGAAATATTTATGGACTATTATGAATGATTTTACAGTCGCATATAGGAATTCGATTACTGGAAGTTATGATAAAAATGCTATTTATGATAAAAATAGGTTACCAGCAGGAACAAGGATAAGAATAATACTAAATGACCTATATAGTGATATTAGAAAATACAAACCAACAGAATGTTATAGAGATGAAGACATTAAAGCTGCGATAGTCAAACATGAAGGTGAAAGTATTCCAGGTTTTCCCTCTATAGATGCTTTTTTGTATTTATTAGTACCACTTTTGGAAAAATTAAGAGAACCAGCTTTTGAGTGTATTTAAGAAGTTTATCATGTTTTGGAAGAAATAGCAATACAGATTATAGATAAAGTAGTAAAGAAAGTACCGGCTTTAAAAGAGGAAGTTAAGGAAAGTATACTATAAGAATTTAAAAAAGTAATATAGCTTATTTTAATTTTTTAATAAATAATTTTATTTTTAATAATTTTTTTTAAAAAAAGGAAAGAGAAGATTGTCATGAAAAAATAGAAAATATCATAAATTCAGAAATAGGATATGTTTTTACTAATGATGTGGATTATTTAACAAAAAGAGTAGCAAGAAGCGATTAGGAGTTTAATAGTGTAAATGATAATTAATAATAATAAAATTAATAATAATAAGGAGGAAATTATAATAGTGTAAATAAAAATATATAAAAATATTTATACATATATATATATATATAAATATATATATATATATATATATATTATAAATACATATAGGTTCCTTTTAGTTAAAATTATAAAAGAACTAGTGGTGATCCTATGGTTTAAGAATTAAGAAGTAGGATAGATGAATATTTTTATTTAGTTATGAGGGGAATTAGAGATGCTATACCTAAAATGATTGGATATTTCCTAGTTAAAGCTTCATAAGTAAATATTTAATTTTTATTAATATTATATATAAATTTATTTTTATTTAGAAATAATTATAATAAACACTTTTTGATATTACTGATAGATGTGAAAGATTATATTCATTAATGGCAGAGGTTAAATTTAAATAAATTTACTAATATAATATATATATATATATATATATATATATATAGCCATAATATATAGTCTAAGAAAGGAAATCATTATCAACAGCTATAGAAACATTAAAATAATCAATGAAGATTATCAGAAAAGATCCTGATTTTTCACCTTTTTTCCATTAAGCTGATTAACTAGCTTTAAAATAAGTATTTATATATAAAAAACTAAAATAATAAAATAAAAACAAAAATAGTAATCAACTTCTTCAAAAAACACATAAGATCGTACATCTACCTCTTAATAACCTAAATAAGAATAATAATAAGCCTAAAAAACCCATAACTTATTCCCTCCTGAATAAAAAACGCACAATAATCGTTCATTAGATACCCATAATTAACCTTTATAATCCCAATAAAACTAATCTTATAACACAAATACCAATACAAATAATACTAGTTTTGGTTAAAATAATCCTTAATAATAGCCTTAATAGTAATAATTTACTAGATAAAACCCTATGTAGCCTCCATAAACAAACTAACCAGCTTAAAATCAAAAAATATTCTAACCTCCAGTCTAATAAACCCAATAATAGCCTTAATAATAACAATAATAGTAAAATTAACCAAAAAAAGATGATTACTTTAATTTATTCGGAAAGCCAAAAACTCAAATTTAACAACCTGCTCCTCCCTAATAACAATAATAATAACAATAACAATAGTAATAATAATAGCAATAGCAATAAAAACCAAACACATTAACTGGAAATGCTGTGGATTATGCACTTGATAATAAAGGAGTTTAAGATGGACTGAAAAAAGGGTCTGCTAAAGCCGCCGGATAAGCCCTAAATAATGTTTTACCTATCAAAAATGCTCAAGGAGTTAACCCTTTGACTGGCTATGCTGAATAAATGGGTGAAAAAATGGCTGATTAAGCCATTTAAAACTAAGCTTTTAGATAAGGAGTTAAAGATGCTGCAGATAAGGCAGTTGATGAAGGAATTGATAAGGCTAAAAATGAATCTAAGGCTGCTTTTAAGTTTTGGTGATTTTATAATGTTTTTTTTTATTTTATAAAAAATAAAAATATTTCTTTTTTATTTTCTTAATTTTTTTTTTTTAAAAAAAAATATTAAATAATATAATTATTGGTTAAACAAAATATAAGTTTATATATACAAAATTCATATACCAAAAAAATTACATAATAAATATCTTATATAAGCCTAACCTCTATCTATAGGTTCATACACATAAGCTTTTTAAACAACCGAAATTTTAAAAAAAGGACAAATTATATGTAAAAGGAACCAACTTCCAATATTAAACATATTTAATATTAAAGCCTAAATATACATTTTCGATTAAACATCATTATCAGTATTATTGAAATCCTAATAGGCCTTTTTACAATCTGAACTAATTCCAATTAAAACAAACTAAGTAATTATTAGTATTAAACAAAATAAATGAAAAAATCTATTTAAACAGTTTAAATTTCGAATTAATATTCCCAATGTTTTCATACAACAACCTAATTCCCCGAATGAATCAGGTCTTAATTTTTCGAAATGTTTTATTAATATAAGTCCAATTAAGGTATATAAAAACATTATAGAGTATATTACGCATAGTATTTTTGGAATTATACCTATGTCAAATTCTTTTAATAAATTCTATTATGTGGTAGATTCATCGGTACTTTTATCATTGGAGACTATATTATCATTTGAGGTTGTATCATTGGTGGTTGTATTAGTCATATTAGTTAAATATTGAGCTTTTTTTTTTTTTTTAGTTTTTTTTATTTTTTTTTACTTTCTACTCCTTTACAAATAGTTTGATTGTTTTAAGCTAAAAAAAAACCATTATATGCGACAATTATAAAAAATATAAATAATATGATGGCATAATATTATACTATTCCAAACATTTTTATTATTTTAATAATTTGTTTTTTTAAAAACTATTTTATAAAATTTATTTACTTTAAAAATATAGATATTAACAAAAAAATATGAAAATTATATATATATTTTTTAAAAGTATTTTTCAAATATTTTCTCATTTTTATAGTTAAATTAATTAAAAAAGATTTAACTATAATATTTTTTTTTTTTTTAAAAATAAATATTTTAAAAAATAATCCTTTTAAAACAAAAAATCAATATAATTATTTATTCTATCTTAATTTCTATTTTTTAATGTATACATATATATATATATATATAAGCATATATTATATATTACTTATTCAAACTATTTTTTAGTTCTCATTCTGTCTAAAAACTCAATTTTTTTCTTTTCTTCGTCTTTTTTCTTTTTAACTTCTGGTAATTATTAATATTTTTTAACAGTTAATTTCTTATATTCTTTACTATCTATCTTTTAAAAGAATAATAAAAAAACTTTATTTATATAAAATAAAAATATATTTATTATACTTAAACTCTAATCCCATTTATTAATCTATTTAATAGTTCTTGAGAAGGTTTATTTTCTTCCTTTTTATTTTCATGTTTTTTATCAATATTTATTTTATTTTATAAATTTTCTAAATTATTCTAATATTTAATAAAATATTAATCTTTAATCTTTTCTAAATTTAACTTTATATCATCTTAGTTTAAAGTGTTTCTTTTACTTTTTATATTAATGAAATATTTATATTTTTAAGAATTTTCTTAAAACGATTTTTATTAATACATATTATTATCTATAGAATAATATTTTTTTTAATCATTATAGAATAATTATTATTATTATATTTAAAAAGAACCATCTTCTAATGATTATTTCCTTGAATTTTAATTTAATTTTTTTTAAATTAATTATTATTCATTTTAATTCTTTTCCAAAGAATTATTTTATGTTAAATAATTTTTGAATTCTTCTTTAAATTTGTCTCTTAATATTTCAAGATCACTTTTTTTATTTTAAATTTAATCTTTTTATTAAATCATTTCATTTTATTTACTTGTTTTATATAATTATATATTATCTTTTATTTTATATTAATTTTCTTCTTTATATTAATTAAATTATTTTATGTTTAATTTATTCTTATTATTATTATTTTATTTAAATAAATTACTATATATATTATATTTTTCATTAGTTTATTTATTTATTGTTAAACTATTTCTTTTTTTAAATTAACTATACATGAATTATTACAATTCTAAATAATAGATAATGTCTTTTAATTATAAATATTGTTTGAAAAACTATTTGCTTTTTAGTGTTTTTTATTTTTATAAATATCATGAAAATTATTATATATAATATCTTCGTAGCATAAATGAGAGCTGCATTTTTTTAAATTAAATTATTTGCTTTTATTTCTAAAACAAATTTATATAGATTTTTTTGTTAATTAAAATAAATATAAGAAGAAAAAAAAATATTATTTTTTGATATATTTACATATCTAAAGATTAATTATTTAGTTAATTTTTTTAAGTTAAAGGTATATTATTTTAATATTATTATATTTTTTAAAATTTCTAATACATTTATTTAAAAAATATATTTGTTTTAAATTGAAAATTTAAAATATTGATTATTATATAAAAAATATATAACACACTTAATAAATATCAAATATAAAAAAATAATAGTAAAAATTATATTTATTATAAATAAAATTTATTAATTAATAATAATTTATAAAATATTATATATTAGATTTTAATATTACAAATATTTTTTATTTAATTAATATAAATTAAAATTTTTAAATAAAACAAAATTAAAATAAAAATCAATAACTAATAATATATAAGAAAATAAAATATATATATATATAAATATATGAATATATAAATACATAAAATTATAAACATATATAATTTTATATATATATATAATATTTAATTTATTATTTTATAATTCTATTTTATTTTTTCATTTCTATTTTTAAAGAATACTTTGTTTTTTAATTTTATTTAAAATTAATTTTTTACTAATTACTTTAATTATTTGTTATATTTTTTCATTAGTTTTTTTTTATATAGAAATATTATTTTTAATTTAAATAACTAATTAAATTTAATCTTCTCAAAAATTTTATAAATAATTTTTCCGATTATATTTGTAATAAATTTATTTATAATTATTTTAATTAATATTAGTATAAATTTTATTTATATTCGATTTTAATAATTAATTTTTTTTATTAATATTTTTATTAGCAAATAATTTATTTATAAAATATCTTTAAAAGATGGAAAATATTTAAATTTTAATATTTTCATCCTTTTTTTAAAAAATTTTATTAATTTTTTGAAGCTAAATCTAATTATATTTATACCATTATTTATTTCCATATATTATATATTTACTAATGTATAATTTTACTAATTTACTTAATTTAATTTTAAATTAATTTACTCGAAATGATTGATAAGAAGATTTATTAAATTAAGACGAAAATAATTTAACTTTGAAATAAAAATTCTAAAATAATTTAATTACACACTACATATGTTTTCTTAGTATCTAAAAAAAGAAAAACTTTATTATTAATATTACATATAGTTTTTTTAATAATATTTAATTATATTCATTTTTTAATTATTTTGTTTTTATATATTTATTAAAAATAAAAATATTATAATATAAAAAATTAATAAATATAATTAATTTAATAAAAAACTATTATTTCAAATTTTATTATTATTTTAATATTAAAAATTATCATAAAATCCGATAATAATATATTTGTTATCTGTATATAATATTAAAAAAATATAAATATGACAATAAATTAAAAAGAAATATAAAATAAAAAAATCTTAAAATTTTATATATATTTTACTTTGAAATAACTTATAAATTACTCACTCATTGTATAATATAATAAAAATTTTAAAATGTTTAAAAAAAATCAAATAAAAGTTTATATTTTTGAATTTATTTTTAATTTTTAACTAAGAATAATAATATATATATAAATATATAACAAAAAAATAAATAAATATTTTATATTTCATTTCTTTTTATTATTGAAATTATCAAGATGTACCATTTAATAAACTTGATAATTATCCTATAATTTTTCAACTAATTATAAAATTCCATTAACAATAAATGTTGTATATCCAAATTTAAATCTTATAAAAAAAAGAAACACTAAAATAGATAAAAAAAAAATATATTATACTATAATTTTTAGGCTTCTGCTTATATTCTTTTTTTTCTCATATTAGCTAATTATTATTTATTAATTTAAAATTTTTCAATTCTATAATCTTTTACAAATTTTCCACCAAAAATATAATTATAAATATTCTTTTAAGTTCCTTTATAAATTAATTCTACATTAATACTATGTTCATTACCTTAATTAAAAATATAATAAAGGCAATTTTCTATACTTAATTTATCTCCTAATCTTTTATTTATTTTTTTAAACAAAATTATATACTAATTCTATTATTTATATATATATATAATTAAACTATTCTTTAGGTATGTATTTCAATAAATCTATTATTATTTATTCATCTATATCTTTTATTACACTTTTATTTTTTAAAAAGCTTAAAGAAAATTCACCGAACATATTAAGATCTAAATAAGAATTTCCATCAAATTTGTTTTATTAATCTTTTTTATGTATATAATCAAATTTATATATATATATTTTTTTTTAAACATATTTTTGTTTTATACTTAAAATAAAATTAATTACAATCATTAATAATTTATTCTAAAGGTTTTTTAGAAAACTAATCAAGACTCTAAAATATAATTTTGCTTATAGCTTTCCATGTATAGTAGCCTATATTTTATCAATTAAAGACATTGGATTACTTGATAAAAATTAAACATTTCCTTTATATATTTTTTTTAAAAAAATATATATATATATGTACTTTATTAGCTAAACCATAAAAACAATTATTAATAATAATAAATTATTCATGTTTTATTTAATTATAATTTTAAATTTTCTATTTAAAGAGTTAGATTAATTCAAAAAATATTTTGTATAAATTTTCCATTTTAATAAAATATTAAAATAAATACATTTATCGTTATTCTAAACTAAAAATTATTTATTTAAAAATTTATTTTCGAATTTCGTTTGGTATAGCAACTTATAATTTCTATTATATTTATTTTTATTTAAAATAAATAATAATAATATTATTAAATACACATTATTCCATATATAAATAATCAAAGCATTAATTAAAAGATTTATAGAAATTATTTAATGATTCTAATTCTTTTTGTTATTATTTAGAAATATATCTTTATTATAATTTCTTATAAAAGTCTTGAAAATGAATAACTCCATTAAACAATGAATTATATTATTCTTTAGTATTTATTTATTTTATTAATTGAATAGCTTAATATTCTATGTTTTCACGGTTTAAAATGTAGCATTTTTCTATCATTTCTTAATCAGTAGAATGCAATAACTAACCTAAAGTATATATACCACAAGTACTACATTTTTTAAACGTTTAACTATTATTATGGTAAATAATCCTTGTATATAACTTGACTGTAATTTTTATGTTTTAATCACAATTTTAATATATAAAACTGTTTAAATCTTAACTTAATTATTAAATAATCTAATATATAAAAAGGATATTTTTTTTAGATAATAAAAATAAAAAGCTTTTTTTTTTTTACTTTATTACTTAATATATTAAATCATCTTCTTTACTTAATTTTACATATATATTATGTTTGCTTATAATTTTTATTAGCTTCTCTATGACTTTAATTTAAATAATTATTTCATCATCTTAATACTTTTAAATGATTATAATATAAATATAATAATTAATTATAATATACATTTAAGCAATGTTTATACATATCAGTTATTGTTTCATTTTATTTGTAGTCTTTTTTTAACTTTTTTATCCAAAAAATATATTTGCCAACTAAATTCTAAAAGAGTCTTCACTTTTTACAAATTCTTCGAATTTCAATTTTTATTATTCACTTTAATTGACTATATATATATATATAAGATTAAATTATTATACAAAAAAATAAATTATATATATATATATATATATATATATATATATATATATATATATATATATATATATATATATATATATATATATATATTACTATTGTAATTTCCTGTTATATATTTTTCAATAGCATCTATTGCGCATTAATAATTTTTAGAACTACTAGTATTTTATCTACAATTATTAATAATACTAATGAAATTCATATCTTTATATTTTATTTAATATATATACTTTTTTTTTTTTTATTTTAACATAAAACACAGTTCTAGATTTTTTCATTAAATTATTCGTCATTAGCTATATTATTTAATTTATCTATAACATTAAAAACCAAACTCTTAAGTTAATCATTTAATACATTAATTAACTTATTATTGCTTAACATTTTTTCTATAGTTTAAATCCATTCAGTTAAAAAATTCTAAACAAACTAAATTAAAGAATCACAGTTTTAAATTAATCTTTTTCTTATTTAATCTTCGCTCTAATAATAACTTTCCAAGTCCGTTTTATTAGTTTAAAAGCTTATATTTTATGGACTTTCATCTATAATCTTTATTTTTTATTAAAAAAGCTTTCTAAATATACGAGATATATATATATTAAAGGTAATTGATTCATAAAAATGTATAAATAGCCTTACAAAACCATACGAAAATGACTATTTAGCATCTAAATTTAATAAGAAAATAGTTTCTTAGTTTATTTTGATATTTTCTAAATCCGTATTTAATACGTTTTGAGAAATTTAAATGAATAAAGTTTATTGTCGAGTATCAAATTCTAAATTTCCATATAATTATTAGACTAAATCACAAAAAAATTCGGTATCAATTTTTTTATTTTCATAAATCATATTTAAATAACAAGGATGAATTTATATTTATGTTAATAAATTTTAATATCTATGAATATATATATATATATATATTAATTATATATCTATATTTAATTTTGTTTACAAATGCTTATTTTCATAATATGTTTAATAATTATTTTTTTAAAATTTTAAATTCTTTTTTTTAGAATCAAATCGTACAAAAAATGGTTCTGAAGGTATTCTCCTTAATATTTCTGACTCACAGTCTTTTTTAAAGTCTTTTTATTTATTTAATATAACCTAGAATTTCATATATAAGTCCTCAACTTATTTACTTAATTATTAAACTTTATCATATAAAAGAAATTAATGATTTTATACAAATAATTTTATATAATTCTCATCTTTAATTGAACTATATAAATCAGGTTTTCCATGAATCATAATTTTATCATAAGTAGACTTTATATTTATTGGATCATCAAAGTAATTTTATTAAGAATCTTTTATAATATTTTAATTAGCATTATTTAATAATTAATTTTTTTTCTTTCCTACATCTTTTAAAAATATATTTGTATATATAGAACTAAATATATAGATATGATACCCTATTAAGATGTTTGTTTTTATAATCTATTTACTGTTATAATCTTTTGAGCTGCATTTATTATTGAAGAAGTTCTTTATCTATTTTCATGTCCTAATTATATTTTAGTTTATGCCTTTTATCTGATATTTTGAAATGATTAAGGATTAAATAAACTATTGTTTTTTAATCTTATATCCCAATTATCATTTATTTATGTGGCTTAATTTGATTCTTAAAATACTTTTTAATTATTTTAATTTTCTGAATTTTTTTATTCATAATCTTAATAAAATTATTCATTATTTTATTATCCTTAACTAATTTGTTACTAAAATATATAATTTTCATAAATACTTTATAAAAGCTAGTTTAAATATTAACAATATTAAGGTTTTGAAATAAAATCATTTAACTAATATTAATATTTTTAATTAAAAACATTTATTTTATCATTTTTCTATTAAGATATTTATATATTATTTAATTAATTTTTATCTTCTTTATCTCTAATATAAATAAAAAAATATATATAAATAAATATATATATATATTTATATATTTATATATATATATATATATATATTAATAGTTATATTTTAATACCTATCAAAATATTCATAACCTTAGCACAATCTTCCTGTAAAAGCATCAAATCCCCATGTATATAATTGAAAATTCGTTTAATTTTTAGCCAGTATTGCTGCGTGATTTTTCGAAACTACAATCTTTTTAATATGTAATATATTACAATCTATTTTTTTTAAATTAGTCATTAACTTACTATAAACCTATTTTTTCGACATTTCCTAATTGTTTTTCATAAATTAAACACATTCAATATCAAAAACTCCCCATTAATACAAAATATTTTATTTACTCAAGGCTATATTATATTTATCCCCTAAAAAGACTTAAACAATTTAAATATTTTTAAACTTTGGATGTAGAGTAGGTTTAATAAATTCGTCTTTCCTTTCATCTACCCCATCTTTCGAGAGTTTATCTTCTTACAGGAATTACAACCCGAAATATTTATGTGGTCCCCAAACTATTAAATTATAATCATCATCTATTCCCGCACTATGACTAGATCCTGCCGAAATATCAATAAAATTATAATTACTCTCTATTTAAAACGGTTCATAAACATCATCTTAATCCCCATGTCCTAATTTACTCTAAAAACCACTACCCCAAGTATATAAAATCATAACTTTATTAATATAATTATTATGATTATTATTTTCATTTCCCCCATTTTCCTATAATCTTACTAAAGCCATAGAATGATTACTTCCACAGGCTATTTTTTCTACATTTTCAATTCCTTTTATTAACTATGGAATTATCTAATTATTACTAATTTAACCTAAACCTAGTTTCCCGTATAAATATGAACCACAAGTGTATATTTTTCCACTATCAGTTAAAAAAAGACTATGATTTTCCCCACATTCTACTTGTTTCATTAATAAACCTTCAAAAGTGGACAATTTACTAGGTTATTCTACAAAAGAAGTCACAAAGCCTAATCCTAATTACCCTTCAGTGTTTTTTCCCCAAGCATAAACTGTCCTTTTATTCTCTATAGCCATACAATATTCAGCTCCACAGGCTATTTAAGTTACTATTCTTTACTCTTTGATATCAAAAAAGCTTACTAAGGTAGGAAACGATTCAGTTGTCAACTCTTTCGAGCTAATATGTCTTATAAACCTACTATTTTCCTTATATTAGGCCAATATCTACTAGCTAGAAATACCATGTTACCCATATTAATTGCTTCCCCAAACATATATTTCTCCAGCATTTGTTAGACCTATACAATGATAAAAGCCAAGCTTTATATCCACCAATTCTTAAGAAAGGAAATTTTATTTTATTAAATTTTCATCATGAATAGGGTAAAAACATCTAATTTCCTAATTCTTTATCTAATTATATACTTTAACTATGTTAGGTATATACATATTACCCTCATTTTATTCTTAATAGAGTATCTATAATTTATATTTTATATAAATATCTACTTATCTTCCTAAACAGCCATTTATTTGTAACCCAAAAGTAGTCAAAATACCCTAAGTACTCAAAAACATTGTAAAGTGTCTTTAAGCCACAATTTAATAAGTAGATTGATCTAATCGACTATTGATAGAAGAAGAAGATTTTCCTTAAATAAACTATTAATTTAATTTCAGTGGACAGGAAATATTCTTAAAGGAAAAACTAGCAAATTAATCATAGTCTAAACCTAGTTTATTATTAGAGTTATTTCCACAAGCAAATGTTTATCCGTTTTCTGATACGAAAAAAGTATTATTTATACCACATTTTATATATACTATAAAATAATGAGATAGACTTTATACCTTTTTAGGCTATAGAATAGTCAGGAAAGTTTCTTGACCAAGTTAGCCGGAAGAGTTTTTGCCCCAAGAATAAACATAGCCTTCGATAGTTATACATACAGTATGATAACCACCACATGATACTTATTTTATATTTAAATTTTCTAATTCCTATTTTATTTCTTCAGGATAGAGCATGTTTGTTTTAGTGCCATGTCCTAATTAACCATCAGATCCTTTTATATTATATATATTTTTGCAGATATATAATTTATTAATATATATAAATTAAATATTTGTAAATATATATATATATTATAATAATTATAATTAAACCTTCTCCCCACATATATAATTTTCCTTAAAAAGAAATCGCTGAAGAACAATTTTTCGCGCAATTAATATATTTAATTTTAATATTATTTTTATTCCCAAAAGTTATTAATTATGGATTTACTGAGTTTAATAAATTTCCTGTACCGAGATTTCCACAAGAATTATCCCCCCAAGAAAAAACTTATTAATTATAACTTAAAGCTAAACAATAATTATCCCCGCAACAAATCTAAATAATATTTTCATCGAAAAATATTTATTAATCTATTTCTAATTAATAGTTTTTTTATAACTAAAAATATAATTATAAAAACCATATTTATAGTTATATATATTATACTCTTTGTATTTTTCTGTTTTAAAATTCCTTTTTTTGAAGTTATTCATTTCCATTAAATAATTCATCATTATTATTTTCTTCACTAATATTTTCCTATTCTATGTTTTTATTTTCATCTTCTAATAGATTATCATCTATTTCATCTTCTTTTTCTCCTTAATTTTTTTTATTTTTTCTAAATTTCGGACTTTAAACTTATTTTATATAATCATTTTAAACATCATTTAAAAAAAACATATTTTCAGAAACATTTGGTGATTATTATATTTTTAATGCACTATATATTTTCGAATCAAATTTTTCTTAAAAAGAATTATCTTTAGTATTTTCTCCTGTTTCTACCGAAGCATTTATATAATTTATAATTCCAGAAAAAAAGACCTTTATCTATCTTTTAAATGATAATTAAGCATTTTCTAGTGTTTTTGCGGCCTCCTTGTAATTTTTGGACATTATATGACTTTAAATTACATTAAATGTTTCTAAATATTCCTTTAAATTCTACCTTGCTATAGCTAATATAACTGAAAATTAATTCCCACAACTTACTTATAGAGGAATATATTATACTTTTTTTTCATAATTTAAAAGAATTAATGTTGGTTTATTCTTTTTTTATATAATAACTTAATTATTTATTATGTATTTTGTTTTTATTTACTATTATAAGATCTTTGCTTTGTTTTTTTGATTAACCTAATTATTAATTAAAATTATTTCCCCAACCAACTAATATTGGAAATAAATCTTTTTCATCATCTTCGTCATCATCTGTTTTAATTTATAACCAATAATAATATATATATATATATATAATACCTTATCCAAACATTATTGATAATGAATGTGAACTTCCTGATGATATTCTTTAATGTGTAAAATCAGTTTATTTACAATATTTATTTTCAAATAATCTTTGTATTAATTAAAAAAAGATTGATTGTCTTATTTATTTTTCATTAAAAGTACTCATTTGTATATTTTTTTAAAATTTAAAAATTATAATATACAAAAAAAAAAAAAATATGAAATAAAAAAAACAAACACAATATTTATTTTTTAAAAATAAAAAAAATTCTGTAATATTATTTTTTAATTAAACATAAAATGTTATCATTAATTTAATAAAAAAGCCATATATATTTAAATTGAATCAATAACTACTTTCTATTTTATTCATATTAACTAAATTAAGTTTAGTTTTAATATTCATTGACAATAATTCTTAAAAAAGTAATTTACAAGCATATGGCAAAATAACTTTACTAACCTAAATAAAAAAAAAATCATTAAATAAATAAAGATAAAAAATACCTCTTAACTCTTACACATTTTACAATATAATGAGTGCTAAATAAACCCACATTTCTCGCAAACAAGTACTTAGAATTTATCTGAACTAATCATTAATCTTTCAATTAACAAATTCGAAGAAGCAAAAGCCAATAAACTATCCCTTTCCATTTCACCGAGTCTCAATCCTCCGTCTTTAGCCCTTCCTTCAGTCGGTTATCTAGTTAAAGTAGTAACTCTTCCCTTTGCCCTAGCATGTACTTTATCAGCTACCATATGTTTAAGTCTTTAATAAAACACTGGCCCACAAAAAACATAACAATTCATATATTCACCTGTGATACCACTTATAAGCACATCTTTTCCTGTATACGAGAATCCATTTTAAACTAGAATTCTTGATAAATCTTCCATTTTATCTCCCCCAAAAGCTGTTCCATATTTAAACTAACCAGAAAGTACAGCAGCTTTAGAACCTAATAATTCTAATAATTTTCCAACAGTCATTCTAGAAGGATAACCATGAGGATTCATAATTAAATCCGGACACCATCCCTTTTCACTAAAAGGCATATCTTCTTAATTTACAATTAAACCAATAATACCTTTTTGACCTTATTAAAAAATTATAAAAAAGATAAATATATATATATATATATATATATATATATATATATATATATTTATATATATATAATTTTTACCATGTCTAGAACTAAATTTGTCACCATATTCAGGTCTTCTAGTTTCTCTAATAACAGTTTTAACAATATTATTTCCTTCTTAATTTTTCGTATAAATAATTTTATCAATTCTCGCTAAAATTTTTCCTTTAAAACTTGTCGGATTCTATAATAAAAATTTAATTATAATAAATTAAATTTAATTACATGTATATAATCCAAAATTTATTCCTATCTTAAATATTCTCTTCCTCTAACAGCCTCTGCTGGAATAACTGGGGTATATTTATTGACTAAAATATCCCCATTATTAACTGGTGCGCCCACAATCCCTACCCCATCATGATCTAGGGCCCCATATTTCCTTAAACCCTTATTTTACTTCTTATAATTACTTCCTTCTACCTCCTTAGGTGGTTATAATACGATTTCAGCTACTCCAACTTTATATCTTTACATCTCCGTCTCATATCTTTTATATACCATAGTTCTTCCAAAGCCTCTATCTAATGAAGCTTTATTTAACACCACTGAATCTTCTATATCATATCCTGAGTAACTTAAAACGGCAATGGAGGCATTATGACCTGCTGGGAATTAATCATATCCAGTATATTCTATAGTCTTAGTTTTCATTAAAGGAGTTTATGGGTAAACTAGTTAATATAAAAGAGTATCAGCTCTACTCATTGAAGTGCTTCCGATTATTCCCAAAGCCTATTTTCCCATTGCACACTAGAAAGTATTCCTACTAGCCTAATTATGGTGTGGATATGGAATGACTCCAGAAACTACACCAAGTAGAGTCAAAGGATCGATTTCTAGATGTGTAGTTTTTTTAGAAATTTCCTCTGGTTTTATCGCTATTAGGGTATTATCTTCCTCATTTACGTCTATGTATTCAATAATACCCATTTTTATAAGATCGTCATATGATTTCTACCTATTTTTTAATAATTTTATATGTTCTTCAGTTAAAATAGGCGTTTTATTTTAAACTACGATTAAAAGTCTACATAATCTGCCCCCATCAGTGTCTAAATAGACCACCTTTTTCTCACTATTTGTTGATATACTGATCGTTGTCCCTATTTTACCTCTTCTTCTCATAAATCTCAACTTCTCAGCAAATTTTTCAGGGTCTTTATGCAATCCTATAATTTACCCATTCAAAAAAACCATATAATTATTTCCATCATGAATCTCCCCAGTACTATAATGTCTTATTTCTTCCATACCCAAATTCAAAGCAATTATAGATAAAATTTATTTATTTTCCTCAATAGTTATATGAGCCATTAAAGCAAGATTTTTTGTCAAACCACAAGATTCTCCATCTGGAGTATCCACAGGACAAACCAAACCCCAATGAGATCCTAAAAGAGATCTTGGGCCTGTTAATTTTCTAGATTTTTTAAATTAAGAATTCATTCTAGTCATCATACCTATACCTGATATATAAGATATTCTTGATAAAACCTAAAATATAGAATTATATATAAAAAAAAATATAAATATATAAATATATACATATATATATATATATATATATATATATATATATATATATATTTAAATATAATATATATTAATTTTATTTATTAATTCTTCTATTTTAATTTTTTTTTTTTTACTTAAGTAACTCCAACTGTGTCCATTCGGAATCTTTTTATTGTCCAATTTCCTGTGGAAATAGCGTTATTTATTCCTTAAGTTATTATATTGCAATTTTTTTCCATTATAGAACGTATTCTGTTAGATATAGGGTGTTATTAGTTTTTATGTTTTTCTATTTCTTTGTTTAGTTCTTTTCTTATCATCATATTGAATTATTTAAATTTATCTTCAAATAATAATTCTAAATACCATCCTGCACATTTCATTCTTTTATTACCATAATAATCTCTTTTATCCACTTTACTATTATCTTCTAAAGCCTCTAATAATCTTCTAGCCATTACACCTAAAAATATAGCTCTAGGGTAATAATTAAAACTTATGCAAGGAATATGACATAATACAACATCTAATATAAAATAAATAATTAAATTAATATATTTAAAAATTAGTATTTTTGAAAATTACTTGTTATTATATCACGAGCTTCATCTATAGGATTTCTTACACTATATGTTTTCTCTTGAAATGTTTTCGGTCTTAATCTTTTTGATAGATATTCGAAAGCTTATTATTAAGTATATATTTCTGCTTATTCAAGATCTTCTAAACATAAAGCTAATCTGTTTAAAAATACTTCCTCAGTACCTATTAATTAGAATATTTCTTATTCACTTTCTACCCCATAGGCTTTAAATAATACAAAAATTGGGATAGGTTTACTAAAAGAACTTACTTTAACATATATTTTATGATTTTTTATTATTAATTAAGTTATTGATTTTGTATCAACAGTATTTGATTTTACATTTGCGACTAATTCTTTATTATTATCTTCTTCTATAAATATACGATTATCAGCTAATTATTCTTAAATTAAAAATACCTTATATTTAATTAAAGAAAATTATATAAATATATAAATATATAATATAATATATATATATATATATATATATATATATATATATATATTTTATTTATTTATTTTTAATTACTTTTTCAACTCCTTTTATAATAAAATATCCGCGAGGATCCCTTGGACATTCATCTAATTTATAAACGTCTTTTTTATCACAAGAACCTATTATACATCTAGATGATCCAACCATAATAGGTAATCTTTATTTAAATTATTTATTTTATAAATATAATTTACATATATATATATATATTTATATTTTACTTTCCTATATTTATGTTTTCAATAATTTCAATTTCACCTCCAAACGTTAATTTACAATCAACTCTTTTTTATTATATATATATTTAAAAGAAAAAGAATAATAATATAATTATTTTTATTTTACAATATATTAGCCGTATAGGCTAAATTGCTAATACGAGCATCTTATGGTTTCATTGTAACTCCATTATCATATGCAGGCAATTAAACTTAAATGCCTAAATACCTAAAAAAAATTGTTAAAAAAAAAATTAATGTTTATATACTTTATAATTTTGCATTTATATTATACTCTAATAAAAATGTATTATCTGTTTCTAAACGAACTTCTTTATTCATTGGTGATGTTATTATTTATTTTAATTTTTTATCAACGAAATAATTAAATGATTGTATATGATGATTTACAAATCCATTTTATTCTATATATGAATCAATAATTTTAGTTCGATCCTTTTTTTAAGCTTTATTTTTTATAGGAAAAAAAAAAAAAAAAAAATTGTACCCAATCTGGATTTTTGTAAAAAGATTTATCTTTCATAAAAAAAACAAATAATTTTATTTTATTTTATTTTACTTATTTTTGTATCTTAAAAAATTCATAAAAAAAAAAAAAAAAAAGAAGAAGAAAAATTAAAGTAAAGTAAAGTAATAAAAAATAATAGAGAAAATATTAATTCTATATAATAAAAAAAAATATGTATATATGTAAATATTTATATATATATATATATAAATAATTTTTCTTTTCTATTATTAATAGTTTTTCAAGAAATAACAATAATATTAGCCTTCGCTCTACATAAAACAGCTTCTGCACTTTTTCCTAAAAATTACTTACCTTCATTTTAAGCTCCGAACCCATTATTTCCAATCTTTAATAAAAATTAAATTACACTTACATATATATATATATATTATAATATATTTATTTACTAAAACAAATTAAATATCTCTTTAACAAGTAAGATTTACAAAATCAACAATAGCTTCTCCTGGATCTTAATTGGGTTTCAAATTAATGAATTCCCAATTATTCTTTGTAAAAATTATTTTTATGTTATAGAAATTAAAAAAAAATACTTTTTTTTATTATTATAATTCTTAAACAACTTAATTTTCAATTTCATTTTTTTAATCTTATTTAAGTGGATTAGGTACAAAACATATAATAGCAAAATCATTTTACCCATTTGCTAATTTAACAGCTTCTTATATACATCTAATTGATTTTAAACTCCCATCAACACATGCTAAAAATGTATTTCCATTATTTTTTGTATAAACTTCATGCGTCTTTTATTATTATTAAATATATATATAAATGAAAATATATATATATAAATATATATATATAATATATATATATATATATATATATATATTTGTATTTTTATATTTTTTTTAAATTACTATGACTAAAGGTGTTATTGTTAATTGAGAACAATCTCTAACTGTAGAAGACATAATTTAAGGATTTCTAAATTAATAAGTTTATTTTTTTTATAATAGAATATTAATATTTACTATTTCACACCTTTTCTTCCTGTATAGCCTATAAAAAGATAATCTATTTTATAAGCCTAACATATAGAAAGAATTTAATCTCTGACATCTTTATATTAGAGACTTTTTTCTTAAAAAATTAAATTATATTTAGTAGATGAGTACTATATTTTTTTTAAAAAAAATATATTAAATATATATTATTTATAAATTATTACTCTTGATAAAAGTTCACTTTTATATTATTATTCTATATGATTATGATTAAATTATTCAGGCAAAAAAGTTTTTTTCAAATCATATATGTGAATTACATGTATTACTCTGAATAAATTTTTATTAAAAAATTCCAAAGCTTACTTTATTAATATTTATAATTTTAAAAAAATATATAAAAGTAATTATAACTTACTAAAAATGCATTAAACGAAAAATCGGATCCATCTGTAGCTACTGCTATATTTTCAAAGGCAAAATCTTTTTTATTCATTGTTTATTTTTTTTTAAATTTAAATTAATAAATTAGATTATATTATATTATAATAATTTTAATGAATATAAATTATGATTAAATATTATATATATAAATTATAATATATTATATTATTAATAATATATTATATATTTTATAATAATTATTTTTTATAAAAGATATTAATAATTTTTTATTATAAATATACACTTTTAATTATATAATATATTTTAAATATATTATTATATTTTATTTTTACATACAAGATATTATTATTTCATTTATTTAAAAAAATAAAAAAAATTATTCTCTGTTCTTTTTAAATATAAATTATAATAAAAAAACAAAAAATATAAACTATAAAAAAAAGGAATATTATATAAAAAAAAATGAGCTATTTAGATTAATTAAAAGAAAACTAAGGAGGATTTGATTTTGATTTCTGTTTAAGGTAAATTCCATATTTAAAATAATATAAATATCAAATATTAAAAATATACTAATATAAAATATATTTCTATTAAAAAACAAACAAATAAAAAGAAATAAAACATTACAAAATATGTAAGTTGCATCAAATCCCCATTTCACAAAAACCGGTACAACTATTGTTGGACTATTATACAAAGTAAAAAAAAAATAACAAAATTAAGCATATATATAAATTAAAAATTAAAAATAATAAAAGGATGGTATAATACTAGGAGCTGATACAAGAGCAACTGCAGGAACAATAGTAGCAGAAAAGAATTGCTAAAAAATCCATTACATAGCTGACAATATATATTGTTGTGGTGCTGGAACAGCTGCTGGTTTATTTTATTTTTTAATATATAAAAAATTAATAAAACCAAAAAATAGATACTTAATGGGTAACTGATAGAATGGCCTCAGAATTATAATTAATGAGACTTAATTCAAATAGATAATCTCGTGTATCAACTGTAGTTACTAGACTAAAAGATCATTTATATAAATACTAAGGACATGTAGGTGCGGCATTAATTTTAGGTGGATATGATTGCATTGGACCTTAATTAATTTCTATATCACCTAATGGTTATTGTACTTATTTACCTTATTGTACTATGGGATCTGGATGTTTGGCTGCTATATCTGTTATAGAATCTAAATATAAAGACAATCTTGAAGTATTATAAAATAAAAATATTATATTTATAAAAAAAAAGGAATAAGAAGCTATAAATTTAGTCAGAGAAGCTATTGAAGCAGGAATTGTTTATGATTTAGGGTAAATAAAAATAAATATATATAAATAAATATATAATTATTATTATATATATAAATATATAATATATATATATATATATTATAATATATATTTTATTTTTTTATTAATAGTTCTGGTTCTAATGTTGATATTTGTGTTATTAAAAAAGAAAAGGTTAATCTTATGAGGAATTATAGAACGTAAATTTATATATTTTAATTATATTCATTACTTTACTTTTATTATAAAATAAAATAGTGATAATTAAAGACTTAATGAATAATTCAAATATAAGAATTTAAAAAATAATACTCGTAAATAATTTTATTAAATTATTGAATTCTTTTTAATTTTATTTATTTAAAAAAAAGCTTATATTAGATAATTTAACGTGTAATTGGAAAAAGTAGTAGATCAAAGTTTATAAATGGAAGTAGAATGAAAAAAATAAATAAATAAATTTATTTTATAAAAAAAAAAATATAAGATTTTTTATTATTTAATAATACAAGAATAATTAAATAAAAGCATTTGTTTTTAACAGAATTTATATAAATAATTTATATATAAAAATAATAATAAAAGGATATAAATAATAATTATATATATAAAAAAAAAATATATATATATAAAAAATAGAATTTATTTTTATTAAAATAAAAAATATATTATATTTTTTATATATATATATATATATAGATATATATTTATTTACATATATATATAAATATATATTTATTTTATTTAATTATTTAATTTTTTTTTTTAATATATATATTATAATTAATTAATTTTTTTTATATTTATTTGCTTAATTAATTATTTTATTATTGTTTATTTTTTAACAATTTTATTATTAATTTTTATTTTACTTTTCTTTTTTTATAATAACATATTTAATTTAAACATTTTTTATTTATTTTTATATTTTACAAAAATACTTTTATTTTATATTTATGTTTTAAAATTATATATGATTAATTTCAAATTTTTATTACTATTATTCCTTTATTGATAATAAAAGTTAAAATAATAAAATTAAATACTAAACTACTTAAAATAAATAATATAAATACTGATTTATATTAAGATTAAATATGTTTCCACTTTAATTAAAATAGTATATATCTTCATTAAATTTATTTTGTAAAATAAAATCATATAATTTATTATTTTTTATATAAATAAATCAATACATATATATATTTTTTAATTTTTTACAACCAAAATTTTTATATTATTTCATTATAATAAAGTAATTATACAGTTTTTTATTATTCTAAAAAATAATTTTGAAATCAATATATATATAATCATATGTTTCTAAATAATATACTAGAAATAAAAATATTTAAAATTCTTTTATATATCCATATATCTAATTATTTTATATATTTCTTATATAGATCTAAAATATCTGATAGTTAAAATTAAATAATTTTAATCTAATAATTTAACATACAGTTGATGAAAAGAATATTATTATATTTTACTTTCTTATTTATTTATAATTAAAAAAATTAATTAAGAAAAAAATATAAAATAAATAAATAAAAATAAAAAATGAGTACAGAATCATATACATTCAATTATCCTTTTAATACAGTTTTCAAAAGCTTTTGGCATAAATATCCTCATCCAGATTTAAGTTTTGTAAAAGATAATTTTGTTTTAAGTTATAATATAATAGATGAGCAAACGCTTTAAGTAAAAAGACTTATGTATACAAAAATGTATAAATATCTCTGGTGTTATACAGTTGAAGACATATATATTTATTTTGATAAATAAGTGTTGGATATGAAGTCTAAAATAGTAAAAACATCTTCTTTATTCCCAGTAACAGGACAAGCCATTGAACATATTACATATTAAGCATAAGATAAATTTAAAACTTTATATTAAAAAAATATAGAAGGAGTAAGTGAAGGGTTTATGAAATAATATATAAATAAATTTAATAATACATTTAAAAAAGGATGCTAAATAGTAGAAGAAAATTGTAAGAAATTTACAAACGAAATAAATAATAAGAAAAATATTTAATGATATTGCATTTAATATGTATTAATATATTTTTTTATAATTGTGTTTTACATTTAATTTTACTTTTTTAAAAAAAATTATATTTAATCAATAAGTTTTAATTGATTATAGATTATGTATAATTTTTATTTTGAAAATAAAATATATATTTATTTTATCTTATATTTTTTTTTTATTTTATTCATATTAATTAATAGTAATCAAATATATATATTAAATTTATATATATATATATATATATATATATATATATATATATAATTTAATATATATAATTTCATTATATTTAATTATATATTTTTTATTATATTTCATCATTTATAATTAATTTTTTTTTTTTAATATAATACTATCTTAAATATTTTTTTATAATATTTATCTTATTATTTATATAATTTATATTTAATATAAATAATTTAAAGTAAAATTTATAATTTATTACAAAATATAATTTATCTCTCAATTATAAAATTAAATCTTTTATGATAAACTTATAAATAAACTAAAAAATAACTAATTAACAACATATTTTTAAAAAAACAAAAATATATTATATATACATACTAATTAATATTTTTTTTTTAAAAAAAAAAATAAAAACAATCAAAAACCTTTTAAAAATATATATGTTAAACTAATTAAACAATCTTATATTTGAATTATTAAGAAAACCAATCTGAAATAATTTTTTAAAAGCCTTAAAAACTAATTATTTTAGATTATTAAATAGATCGTTTAACTAATCTAATGGACATAAGACTACACCATTCTAAAATATAATAAAATTAAAAATCTAGTAATATAAACACATATCCAATTAAGATTATTGAATCAAACAAAAGAAGCCGAATTCTCATTATTTTAGAAACATTCATGTCATTTTAAAAATCGAGTAAAAAAATATCCGAATAAGTGCTTTCATATTTAGTCTTTTAAGCACCTTTATAATAGCTTTTTTGATCACTTTTTCCCAATTTATGATTCCTTAAATGCACTTAATATATAAATTAAATATTTATTTTGTTGTCTGCTTTTGCTTTAACTACTGGCTTATGAGAAACGGTGACATTTAACCATATAGTGATAATCTTGAAGATAATTTATTAACAAAAATGGCAGCTTTTTCTGGCATAATATCTCTTTTATTGATTCTTTATGCCTCTTAAATCCTTCCCTTGAAAACTTCGTTTTTTCATGGATAATCATAGCCACTTTAGAAATCCTTATATAACATAACTTAGCTAATTTACTTAAACCGAAATATATTTACGGATTTATAATCTATTTATTAACCGAATTAATTCTAAATCCTTAATACTACATCGATCTAGTAGAAAAAAAAGCTGTCTAAGAAGAAAAGATAACAATATATATAAATAAATACCCAAGAAGTTATATAGCATCTTTATTAGCAGGCCCCTATTTTATGGTTTAATGAGTTTTTACATAAGAAAAATAAAAAACAACAAGTTTATAGCCATATAGTGTCCTTAATATAAATATGCTTTATTCCTAGTTTATTCTATATGGTTTAATATGCTTCTATTTCTCCTTTATAATGGCTTTATGTGGTTTTAGGGGGATTTGTTTTCTCTTTTGAAATATAACTTTTTATTAGAGGCGAGTAATTGTAAGAAGCGTCTAAAATTACGCTTACTGTTCCTTAGTTTATGGAATTTTTTATATTCTTTGCGTATTTATTTTAGATTTAATTATTAAATGATGTACATCTATCTAAATTGGAATCGCAGTTGCTATTTTAATTTTGAATTTCTTGTTATTAAGGGTAATTTAAAGTGAATATAAGGAAGAGTCAAAAAATAAATAGTAAGAAAACATTAATAATGGGGATACATTATTATAGAACTTAATTAATTAGGCTGAAAGTTAATATTGATAATTGTAGGTATGCATATATATATATTTAAATGTTTTTTATTTTTATATTTTTTCAATTCCTTTGAGTGTTTGATTTTTAATTTTTTAAAATTTTACTTAACAAAAAAAAACAAAAAAATTATTAATATATTTTTTTTTTATTCAATTAAACAAAAAAAAATACTATTAACGAATAATGTTTAAATAAAGAATTATTTTAATAAATCATTATACAAAATTAAAATAATAAACTAAAAAAAATAGTAATAATATTAGATTCAAAATAATTAATTATACAATATTTGTCCTAAAAAAATTAAATAAAATTTTAAAGTTTCTAAAACATATCAAACATCCCCCCCCCCCTCCAAAAAAACTCTTAAGCCATTTTATTGATATATATTCGTTTAAAAAGCAAATATTCTCGTTTCTAAAATAATTTATATAACGCAATATCTTTAAATAATAAAATTGAAGATTCTCAATTATAATTCAAGTAATAAAATATAATTTTTTTCTTTATTTTTTTTAACTAAAATAATATTTGTAAAAAAATTAAAATATAGACTAATTCATAATACGGGTGGGGGGGTTAATATAGTATTCCTTTATTTTTAAAATAATGGAGAGATTTCGAGAAAATAAAAGTAATTTAAAATAATTTAAAATTAAGTAAAGATAATTTAATGGATATAATAATAATAAAGTAGTTAATATTTTAGAGTTTTAGTGTATTTTTTTTGGATGAATTTCGAAAAAAATATTAAAGATTTAATAAACTAAAGCCTGTCTTATTTAATGCGAGTTTATTTGTGTTTATAGAGATTTTTATTTTTGATAATTTTATGCGTTTTATCTTTTTTATATATTATACAATATAAAATAAAATATTAACTAAAAACATATACATATATTATATACAAACATAAACAAAAAATATTTTCATTTTTTTGTTTGAATTTTTTTATTTATGATTATTATTAAAAAAACAATTTTTTATTTTTTTATAATTATTTCAGACTATATTAAATGTGATTTACCTGTACATTGTTTAAAGCACTAAATAATAGGTTAATGGAAGCTTTAACTAGAAAATCTATATTATACAACAACTTAATATATAAAATGTGGTCATAGTTAACCAGACACAATTTATAATTCATATAAATCATATTTAAATATTTTTAAAGTAAAAAAATATATAAATATAATAATATAAAAAATAAAAGGTAAATAATGAAATAATAATAGATTTATAAGAAACGACTAAGCTTTATATGTAAATGAAGATGAATGTATTAAGGTAATTTTGAAATTTAAAAGAACATAATCTTAAATAACTAAAAACATTAATAAACTATATTAAAAAAAATTAAAGGGAAATTGGAGTGTTCTATATGATTAAGGAATAATAATATAAATAAACAAAATTTAATATTTTACATATTTTAAATACTATCCAAACGAAAACTTCTAAAAAGAAATCCAAAACGAATTTGATTTTGAGGAAATACACAATTTCGAAAACTACAATTATGATTGTACAGAAACATTAATAGGTTGGTACACAAAAGAACACTAAAAAGGTTGTTTTAAGGCAATAAAAATAAATCCTAATGAAAAAGACAAAAGCATTTCTAATGGACATCAAAATAAGGTTGTTTAGCCTGATGAGGATATATTATATGAATAAATATAAAAATAAGAAGATAAATTATATGAATAAATATAAAAATAAGACAATAAATTATATGAGTAAATATAAAAATAAGAAGATAAATTATATGAATAAGGTTTAAACAAAAAACCTAATTTAAAAAAAGCCTCGAATATCTAAAAAAACCCTATAGTGAAGATTTTTTATGAATTAATTTTCGATAAAAAACCACAAATGAAATAACTAGATGACCTAAATATACATGAAAAAATAGTAACCGAGTTAAACTAAAAAAATAAAACCTGGGAAGCTGGGATAAACACAATTATGCCAAATAAAAATACTTAATAGAGAAAAAAAGGAAAAAAAAAATATAAGTATTTCTCATTATAAGATTTATCTGATTTACCAAAAGAATTCTCCCTTAAAGAGTATTTAGACGAGCCTTCAAGTTAGAAATAATGCGGAAGTTGTTATGTGATTGCGACTGTAAATATGCTAAATGCACGTTTGAGAATTAAATATGGGAAACATATTAATGATAAAATCTCTATGTAACATATTTTAGACTGCTCTTTTTTTTCTTAGGGATGCTAAGGGGGGTATGTATATTAAATTGGCAAATTCGGATATGATTATTTCCTTATTTCGGAAGAAGAAATGCCTTATTAAGTACTTTTTTTATTTTTAAACTAAAAAAAATTTAATTTTTTTTTTAAAGGATACATAAAAAGGATGTCCTTATATAGATAAAAATAAATTAGATAAAATTTATAAAATAACTACTTATGGGTAATATTTTTTATTAAATAAATTAACATTTCATTATTTTATTTTTTAAACAAACAAAAAAGATTTGTAGGAGGAGGATATGGAAAATGTAATGAAAGAGAAATGATGATTGAAATAATGAAAAATGGGCCTATAGTTGCTAGTATTAATCCTGATTATTAATTTATGTATTACAAAAGTGGAGTTTATCATTCAGTTGAAGCTGCAGAATGGATTCTAAATGGTAATCTTTTAATTTTTAATAAGTCTAGTTATTATTATTAAAAAAAAAAAAAAGGATAAAATGCGCCAGAATGGAGAAATGTAGAACATGCAGCTTTATGGTAAAATATAATATTTTAAAAAATAAAAATAAAATATAAAATTCATAATAATAGTTATGGATGGGGAGAATCTGAAAAAGACGGAAAATATTGGCTAATGTAAAATTCTTGGGGAAAAGAATGGGGAGAAAACGGTTTTTTTAAGTAATTATTGATAAATAATTTAAAATTATATAAGAATAACTTATAAAAAAAAAGAATAAGAAGAGGAACTGATGAGTCTAGTGTAGAATCAGTAGCTGAATATGCAAACGCTGAAATAATTTATTTAAAAAAAAAATAAAAAAAATAAAAAAATGAAAAATTACTATGAAAATAATTAAATAAAAAAAAAGAATATATAAATATATAATTTATATATATATTTACATATTAGTAATTTAAATTTAAAAAATAATATATATATATATATATATATATATATTTTTATTTTTTAATTATTCTTTGTTCATCTTAATTATTTTTATAAAAACATATTTATAAAAAAAATTCTATAAGTAATTCCTTTCTATATATATTTTTCTAACATAATATTTAAATAAATTATTTAAATATATATATATATATATATATATTTTATATAATAATATGATTTCATTAAACCAAAAATTTTTTTGAAATACTACTAAAAGAAAAAGCAAAAGCTTATACTATATTTAAAGGATGCCTAAAATCTAATGAAAAATGGTTTTTACTAACTTTTCCATGTAACAAATAAATAGTATCATTATCCTCCGGATCATGCACTAAAAAATTTCTTGCCGAAGCTTTTTACACTCTTCCATAAAAATTTAATTAATAAGATTAATATTCTTCATTATAAACTGGTTCCATAGATTACATTTCCAAAAACTCATCTTTTTTTTCAAAATTTAAAACTTTAGCCGTAAATTTTCGAGGTTATTCTGCCATAATATTAGTCTCGTATTTAATTTCAAGAATTTATTTTTATTTCGGAATAAAATATTTAATAGCTAATTCATTCTAATTAATTCCTTCATTATATAATGTAAACTATGTCCCAAAATAATTCCTCTCTAACACCCCTACATAATTCTGGTTATATTTTACGTATTTTTATTATATATTTTCATTTTTATCCGAAAAAATATCATCTATATATATTTCAATCTATGAGTGAGGGCCTTATTAAACACCTACAAGTATCTATTTTTAGTCATATTCTGAAATCAAATGATATACATGGGGATAGTCGTAGTCTTATTCTTAATATTCGTTTATTTTTTTTCTAAAATTAGTTCTAATTACCTTATATTGTTCATATTTTTATTTCACCTAGCTTAAATTAAATTATTTGATATAAAATTTCTCAAAAGATACTTCAAAAAAGTCGTATCTATTTCAATTTATTCAATTTTTTGATATTTTAAAATATCAATAACACTAAGTTTCAATAAAAGGCTTTTTTATATGACTTCTAGAGACTAATTTGGACTATTTTTGATAATATTTTAAATAATAAAATTATTCTGGTCATAAAATTTTATATTTAAATAATTTAGACTGTAATCTCTCAAAATTTAATATAAATAAACACCCAATAAATCACACTAGTATTAAACTGAAATCAAAGTACACAAAATGAACGTTTTGTAATTAATTTTAATGTTAATTTAATCAAAAATATACCAAACAAACTCTTCTACGTAATTTATTTATTAAAGAATTTCCTTTTTTTTTCTAATAAAGATATTATATATTCACTTTTTTCATTTTATTCTTCCGCTATATTTATTTAAGAATTTACTTTTAAAATTTATTATTGGAAAAAATCATGTAAATAACATCCACTACTAAGTAAAGAAAGTAAAGTCTTTATTTTCTTATTTTTTATATTTGGTTTTATTTTCGTATTTAAAAAATTCATTAAAATTAATAAGTCCTCATGTTTTGGGTAAGGAATGTGCTTTTTGCATAAAATAACGATTTCTATATTGGTCATTTTTTAGTTTAAATTTAAATAATATATACTGTGTTTTTAGATTTCTTCTATACAGATTTGTTTTTTATATATTTTTTTATATTCATGGAGTTTAATTAAGTTTTCATTATCTCTTTTTTACTTTTTTTTAAAATACCAGTTTCATGAGGCTCGAATATATATATGAATAAACATTCAATAGATATTTTAGTTTGTTATAGGGGGTTTGTATAAATTTTTTACTTAAAATTTTAAATATTTTGTTATTCTATTTGTAGATTTTTATTAATTTCTTAGAAATCACTCATATTTTGTTAAATTATTTAAAATAAAAATAATTATTATTAAAAATATTTTTTTTTTTTATTTTACAAATGGATATTTAATAAATCTGTTTATTTTATTCTTTGTAAAAAACATAAAAAAATGATTTTTTTATAATTATTTATAGATATGATATATATATATATATGTTTATATATATATTTATATATAATATATATAATATTTTATATAATTATTATTAAATAAATATATATATATATTAAAGTAATTATTATATATAATTATTTTATATAATTAATATTTTTATATTATTCATATTTAATTATAATTATATAAAATATTGAAATTATATTATTTATTTATTATTATTACACAAAATTAAAATAAAAAACATATTAAATAATTTTTACTATATTTTTCATTTAATAGGCATAAACTATAATTAAATATATTCCGAAACATTTTTAATGTATAAAATCTAATTTTCAATTTATATAATATTTTAATTTATATCAAATATACTATCATAAACAACAATATTATTGAAAATAAAGATTTAATTATTTATTAAGCATATTTAGTTATTATTTATATTAAAGTTTCTTTTATTTAGGACATCGAAATTTTATTTAACCTTAATAATTTGACTTTACTAAATTAATTCCAATTACCATTAATTTTTTTCGATTTAAAATTTCAAAAAAAAAACTCATAATTATTTTTTTTACAAATTAAATGAATTTATTTATTTTTTTAATAAACAATATTAAAATTACTAATGTTTGTAAATATATTAGTACTTACTACTTTTTTTAAAGCAACATCTACAATTAAAAATTTAGAACTTTCCGTATAAAGAATAATAATACTATTAAAATTACAAATTTACATATATTTAACAAAATAATTTTATAAATGAATTGAATAAAGCATCTTGTTAATTTTTGAATTAAAGAAAAATAAATTTTATTTTTTAAGAATTACTAATGTATCTTCTTAGTATTTTTATACATCAAGAATGTCTTAAAACTAATTAATTTAATATTAAAATTCTTATATTAGTTACAAGTTTTCATCAAAAGTATATAAGAATTTATAAATAATTTATTTAGTAGCATAAAATACAAAAAATTGCTATTAATTGATTTAAAAAATAATACATTTTAAAAAATCTTAAAATCTAATATTAGGATAAACAGCTATAATTTACTATTATTATTAAAATCTTAAAAGGATACGAAAAGAAACTAAATTAGATTAATCATTTAAAATCAAAACTAAAAATAAATAATTTTCTTTATATATATAATCTTAATATATCACTTTTTTATTAAATTCATTTATTTCTATTGTTCTTATAATATTTTTATTTAAAAATTAAAATATGCCTACATTTTAAATATTTCTAATTACATTTTATAATTAAAAAATATTTAATAATTACGATCTTTAATTTTTGCTAATTTCCCTATTTTTTTTAATATAAGTTCTCATAATATTTTAATTTATTAATTTAAGTCTATTTTTATGTATAGATTATATATTATTCATATTATTATTAATTATCAACTATTTATTAAATTTATTCAACTAATCCTTCTTCATTACCATTTAAAATATTGTTTATATATATTTCTTGATTTCTAAAATATTTCTTTTTAATTTTATCATAATAATAACCAGAATTTAATATTCTTTCTTTTAAACTAAGATTTTCATATTTTCTTTTATTTTTATTTTTATATTTATTTGGTTTCATTTATTTTTTTAAAATTAATAAAAGTGTAAATTATATATATTAATAAATATAATATATATATATATATATCATTAAACTAAATTAATTTAAATAAATATAATTATTATATAATATATATAATTTAATAATATTTTTAGTTTAAATATTATATAATTTTTCATTTTAATTTTTATTTTTTCTTTTTATTAAAATTCAAAATCATATATATCTAAATTTTAAAAATTGATTATTTTTAAATAAAACTTCGAAATACTTTACATTTTTATTTATATTTATATATATATAGAACAAGATGAAATAAAAAAAGTAATTAGATATTATTGACTAAAATAAATTAATTCTAAAATTTTATTATTATTAAGTAATTATTATATTTATAAATTTTGTAAAATCACTAAATAATTAAGTATAATTTATTAAAAGCTTAAATTATTATTCTTAATATATTAGTGTTTTTTTTTGTTTAAAAAAAAGGAATATAAATTATTAATAATTTAATTCTTTATTTTAAGCGATTTAATAGAAAAAAAGGTAAACTAAAATAAAAATTTTCAGAAAATTAAAATGAAAACAATATTAATTTGATTTGAAGAATATATAACTCAATATTATTATGAATATATATAAATTATATCTTTAAATTTCGACGTATATTATTTTATACATGATTGATACAATTATAATATAAAATTATATAATCAAATAAAGTTCTTTATCCAAAAATAACTTGTTAATATAAGATATTTAAGATTTTATTATTTATTATATTATATTGATATAATAATAAAAAATAAATACAAAAACTTAAATATTTAATAATAAATTTAATTTTATTATATTTTTATTGAATTTTTATGAAATAATTCAAATAATTTATAATATTAATTTTTTAAGCATTTTTTAGATGAATATATAAAAAAAATATTTATTAAAAAGTTAAATAATATTGTATTTTTTATTAAAAAATACTTATATTTATATTAAACAAATTTGTTATTTTAAATGCTAAATTAATTTAATTATTTCAGCTCAAATATTTTAGATTAATCTTATGTTTTTTTTATTTTGTTCAATAAGTAATTAAAATGATCAAAATAATGAATATTAAAATAATAAAAGTTTATTATATTTATATTAATTATTTATATAAAAAACAAAATTTTATTAATTTAAATTAAGAATTTAAAAGACAAAGAAAATTTTTACCTATATAATCTGTTAAATTAAATATAATAATCTTATATGATTTTTTCCTACTTTTTTTTTTTTTCTGATATAATAATACTTAATATTTATAAAAAAATTTAAAAATTTAAAAATATAATTTTATTAATTTATTATAAATCTATATATTTAATTTTTATTTTATTTTAACAATAAAAAATAAAATAAAGAAATATATAAAAATAAAAATCAATTTATTTATATATTGGAATATTTTAAATTTAAATAACTTAATAAATCTCTATATGCTTATTCTTTAGTATCGTTAATTATATCATGATAAAATCCTAATTTATCTTTTTATTTTATTTCTATATCGGCATTTTTTAATCTTTTTTAAATTTATTCTTCTGTCTCAGTTCCCCTAAAATTAATTAAATTTAATTTTATCCTTTAATTTATTTATTTTTTAATTACCTTGCTCTCAATCTTTATTCAAGAATTTATTTAGAAGGAGAATTAATAAATACATAATTCCAAAAAGGGAATTTTTTATATATTTTTTCTGCACCTTAAACATCAATATCTAAAACACAAATCTTTTTTTTTTTTACATATAAAAATTAAATTGAAATTAACTTAAAATTTCATAATAAAATAACCTTATTTTAATCAATTATATTAAATACTTATTATTAATGAGTTCCATAAAAATTCTCATGTACTTTGCATTATTCAAGAAATTAGTCTTTATCAATTCCCTTTTATATACATATATATATATACATATATAGTATATTTTTTAATTATAAATAATGTTTTAACATTTTAAAATTCTTCTTTTGAAACAAAATAATATTCTCTGCCATTTTATTCACCTATTCTTGGTTATCTAGTCGTAAAGCTAATACTTAATTCGAATAAATTAGGATTTTTATTTTTAAGCATACTATAAAGAGTTCCCTAAAATATAATTTTTATTTTAATATTTTTTCTTATATAATTTCTAAATTTTATTTACTTTTCCAGCACCGGAAGCGCCTGATAATATTAAAGGATTAAGCTTTTCTTTTTAATGACAAAATAAATACTTATTTAATAATAGTCCTTTCATTGATTCTTAAATAGCATTTTTGATTATATTATTAAATTATAAATAATTATTTTCTCCCATAAGTATATTTAATATAATTGTATTAAAATTAATTAGATTTGTGAATATAGTAATAATAAAATAAATATATTTATAAATATGTTTATAAATAAAAATATTCATATATTATAAATAAATTTATACAATAATTAACTTTTTTTTTTTTTTTTACAAATAATAAGTATTCATATAAAATTAAAACTGTATTATATTCAATTTATTTATTTATAAGTTTCTAAATTATATTAATATATGATATAAAAATATTATATTTATTAAAATAAATTAAGAATATATATTTTAGAATTAAAAGTTTATATCATCCGTTTTTGTTTCATTTTATTTATTTTTATAAAATAAATAGATTTTCATCTGCCTTAAGTCCTTAAGTAAAACTAAATGGTTCAACTTAATCATTTTCAACATTTTCCTTATTAAATAGACTTATTTTTTAATTAAAAAGCTCAATAAAATATAGAATATAAAGTTACTTTTTATTATATGAAAAATCTTAAAATTCTAATTATTATGTTAGAAAAGAAGAAGGTGAATCTATAGGCTTTTATAACAAATATTCATTATCGAAAAATCTTATATCATTTGCTTTTTAAATATTTAAATTTAATGGGCTTTTAATTTTCATATTATTTAGCATATTCCAGTTTATTTCTTTAAAAAATGGATGTTACATTACATTTGTTGTACCATCATTTCCATATCCTAATCTTTCAGTAGGCTTTATTTTTTGTTAAACTTAAATATATATAAATTATGAAAATGTATTGTTTACCTCAGCAACTAATAATCTAGAAATTAAATTTTATGCATCTTTAGAAATATGGGGTGGAAACTATATTTCCATCTAATAAATTAGAATATAATGTTAATAACAAACTAATATTAATAAATATTACTGAAGTTAATTTATTAAACATTTATTTTTTATCATTAGAATAAAAAGGTGGAGATCCAGTTAACATTTCATAAAGTAAAATACCAAAACTCCACCAATCAACAGTTTTAACATGCCCATGTTCACTTAGAACAATTCCAGGAGCCAAATACTCAGGTGTACCACATAAAGAGTGCCCTAAGAATAAAATAAACAAAAAAAAGCATATATTTTTATAAGGAAATAAATTAAATACCTATAACATCTATTTTAGAAAGTCCGAAATCAATTAATTTAGCATTTGCATTTTAATCTAATAGAACATTTTAAGATTTTAAATCCCTATAGATGATATTTTTATCATGTAAATATTATAATCCTAAGACTATTTAAGCCGCGTAAAATTTAGTTGTTATTTCTGAAAAACTTCCTAATTTTTATAAATGGTAGAATAATTCTCCACCGTTCATAAAATCTACAACTAGATATAGTTTAGTATCAGATTAAAATGCATATCTTAATTTTACTATAAATTAATTATCTATTTATTCTAATATTTATCTCTCAGTAATTATATGCCGCAAATGTCTATCGCTTTATATTGTTTTTTTCTTTATTACTTTCATTGCATATATTTTTTCTATTTTTTTTTTTATTTTTTTAGTTTATTTTTTGTATATATTTTAATTTTAACTTCATTTTTTATTACATTCTTAAATTAATTCTACTAAAAAAACTTTCCCAAATGAACCTTTTCCAATTACCTATTTTTATTTATATATAGAGGTTAAAATAATATATTTTTATTTTAATTCATTAGGTTGTTTTTAAGTAAATTAATAAAAATATTAATACTTTTAAAAGTTTAAAATCATTTAAACAAACTCTTTTTGTTGCTTCTATAAATTTGAAATTATAATTAGTTTTTTATTAATCTTTATCAAATGTCATTTCATTATCAACATGATTACATATGTTACCCATTTTATTTAGTTTTAGATAATAGAAAATATATATAAAAAATTATTAATCTTTTTTAATTAAATATTATTTATAAAATATTTTTTTATTATTTTTACTTCTAAGAAATATTAGTTTATCATAATTTATAAAACTTAAAATTATTGGAATTTTATAAACTATAAATTTATACTTTATTATGTATTTTATAAATTACTTTATATACATCATGTATTAAAACTTTTTTGTAAATCTAACTTAATGAAAAAGCATTAAAATTATGTAAATATAATCGAATAATTAAGTATTAAAATATAAAAAGTTATTAAACAAAAAAAATAGAAAAATATACTTATTGATATAATTTATTTTTAAAAAAGTAAACATAAAGTTTATTTTATTTTTTTAAAAATAAAATAATATACTTCCTATACATTTGATAAAAAAATATTAATCTTTAAATTTTAATAAACATTTTTTTATTTTATTAAATAAAATGAAATTAACATATTTAAATTTTAACTTTTTATTTATATTATTTTTAACAATTTCACAAATAAAATCATTAAACGATTATAAATACAGAATATAACTATTTTAATAAAGTAAATATAAGTAAAAAAGAAAAAAAAATAATTCATTTTACTTTTTAATATACATATACACGTATATTTATTCAAATAAAATAAAATCAAATAGATGGACAATACTTAAATTCATACTACATCGCGAAAATAATGGTCGGGAAATTATACCAAGAATAATAAGAATTTCGATTTTTATTAGATACAGGTTCTTCTGAAATATGGATTTATGGCCAATAATGTATGACATGTAAATAAAAGCAAAAAAAGAAATGTACCTAAAAAAACTAAACTGTAGAAACTACTGAATAATGCCAAATTTTAAAAAATGAAACTGATTACAAATAAATAAATTACGGAATAGGAAGTGTTAAAGGCATTTTAGCATAAGATTATTTTTTAATATAAAATAACAACCTGTCCATAACATAATAATATAAATTTATTTTAGTCGAATATGCATAAAATTTATAAAATATTTAAATTGATGGAGTTATAGGTTTAGCATTATAAGAAAATAATAATTAGTCTTTTATAGGAAAACTAAAAGAAAGCAATTTAATAAAATGGAGCATCTTTTCTTTTTATTTTTCCTAAACGGAAGATACTAATTACTTTATTTTAGGAGGATATGACCCTAAATATATAAAAGAAGGTTAATAACTAAATTATTTTAATTTAAAAGTAAAAAACGAATGGAAAATAGAAATAGAAGATTTTAAATTAGGCGACTCATTCATTAATTAAAACTCAAAAAACAAAAGAATAGGATTAATAGATACAGGGTCAAATAATATAGTTTTAAGTTAGGAAGATTTGAATAGTATGATATAGGTCCTTTAAAATGAATATGGTATAGAATGTATATAAAAACAGTCCAAAAATATAGAATGTGAATGTAATACAAAATAAATAAAGGACTTTCCTAGTATTTAAATATATATGAATAATGATTAGAATGAAAAAATAAAATTTGTTTTGAAGCCTAGTGAATATATTATAAAAAATAAAAACTAGTGTAAATTATAGGTTATTGTTTTAAATAATTTAAATAATTAAATAATTTTTGGAACTGTTTTTTTGAAAAAATATTATTCTATTTTTGATGAGGATAATTTTAAAATTGGACTTGTAAAAGCTGTTTAAGGTTAAAGTTATAATAATTCGAAGTAATTTTTTTATGTTACTTTTATCATTTTTGCTGTTATTTTTTTTGGGTATAAAATTGGAGTTAAATTAAATGATATGATAATTAATTAACCATATAAAAACATAAAAAAAAATGAAGAAATTAATAAAGAATCAATTGAAAGTCCGATTACAATTTCCAAAAAAAAAACTTAAATTAATACAGGCTTGAAAATTCTCCATTAAAAATAATAATTTTAATATTTATTTCAAGAATCATTTTAATCTGTTCATTAATAATAGCTATAGTTAGTTGATAATACAGCATATAAAACTAGTTTAGATAATAAGGAATATGTATAAATTTATTAATTTCCTTAAAATTAATAATAATATTATCCTATTTAAAATAAATATTATAATAAATAACAATTTTTTAATTTCGAAAGCTTATGACGATTTTTTATAGAAAATAAATAAATATTAATTTATTATGTCATTTAATAAAAACTCTTTCATATAAAATATATATTATATTAAATTAAATATTTTCATATAGGAAAAAATATTTAAAAAAAAATAAAATAAAAAAAATAATATTATTTTATTTATTTTAAAAAAATAAACTAATTTTTTTTAAATTTTATATATATTATATATCATTATTTTATATAAACAATTTCTTGATTATTGCAATTTTTGAAAAAAAAAAAATCATTAAATTTTTTATTTCTAAAATATATTATCATAATACTCATGTACATAATAATTAAATATTTAACTTTTAAGGACTTTACTTAAAATATAATCTTTATTAATATCCATTCTACTTTCAAAAATTTAATTTTATATTTATTGCAAATCAATAACCTTAAATAAATAATATAATTTAATCTAATAAAAAAACTAATATTTTTCATTACTTTTTTTTAATTATAATTTTAAATAAAAGGAAGATGATCAAGAATGTCTTTTTAAATAAATTTATTTATAAAATTCATAATATTTAAGCATTTTTCTTTTTAAATAAATAAATTATAGATACTTTTTTAATTTGACCCAATTTTATTAGAACTTTAATTTTCCTGGCTTTAAAAATCTGTATTTTGAGTTAAACTTGAAGAAAGTTCATTATTAAGAAAATTATTTTACAAAGAAGCAGTATTTATACTATAAGAATGTCTATTATTTTATTTATATTTTATTTATTATTTATTATTAGAGCTTGAATTCACAGTTTTTTAAATAAAAAAGTTGGTAATTTAATTATAGTCAATAATTATTTCTGAATAAATTTTTTTAAAAATTTAAGAATTTCTGACTTAAAAAGAATCATTATTTCCACATATCTAATCTTCTTCTTCATCTAAAAACACAAAAATGCACTACTCGTATTTTTTATTTATTTATTATTCCAAAAAGCATTTTTTAGTCATTTTCAATCCCACAAATATAGGAACTGGAGAGTCTAATAAATGAATAAAATTCTAAGGAATTATCGTTATTAAAGGATGGGGATATATAAAAGGCTTAATTAATGATTAAAACATTAAAATAGAAGATGAAAGTAATTAACTGCTTGTTGATACTAAAACTATATGGCATTCCATTAATAGACTAAAATATATTTCTAAAAATTATCACATTTTATGTTCTAAAATACTATATGACTTTATCCTTCAGATTCTATATAATATGATTGTTCTTATGAAGGGATTATTTAAGTAAATGTTTAAAGATTAAATTATATTTGGATTTATGAATTTACAAACTGAGAGATTTTAATAGTTTATAATTTATTTAGGAACACACTATATTATGTCTGAATTAACTATTTGTAAATATATATATATATATATATATATATATATATTTATATATATATTTATATATATATTTATATATTTTTTTTTTATATTTTACATTTATTAAATCTTATTATAATTTAACGAAGAAATTTGAATATGATTTAAATTTAATTTAGCTTTTGTTAAAGAATATCTTTCTTTCAATACTTAATTAATCTTTGAAATATATATATATATATATTATAGAATTAATATATTTTAATTTTATAAAAAACTTAAAATTTAGTGAGTTATTTCTGTAAAAAAACTAATAAAAGGATAATATGTTAAAAAGCATATAGCCTTTTCTGAAACACAATATATATTAGAATTCAAATTACAATTTTTAGACTTTAAAAAAAATAAAATAAAATAAAATAAAATTCATTCAAATATATAAAATAATAAAAATACTTTTTATTTATCTTAAATAAAATCTTTTATTACAAAACATATTCCATAAAGTATTTTTGAAGGATTACAAAAATCTAAAAGACTATTTTTATCTAAAGATCTTTTATTTTTTTAAAAAGATTCATTAGTTTTAAGAATAAAAGTAAAAGTATCTTAATTTTCTTATTGTAAATAATTAGTGTATATTATTTAATTAATTTACTATATTAACCCATTAGATTTTAATCTTTATATATTTACGCCATTAGGAAAAGCTAAAAAAGGCAAAATTTAATTATTATCAATAATTTTTGAATCAGGAAATTTATATTAAATAACTGGTGAACAACTATAAAAAATATTTATATATATTTATATATATTTATATATATATATATATATATATATATATATATATATATATATATATATATAATTATATATATAAATTAATTATTTAAATTTAATTATCAAAATTACTATTTTAATCTGGTCCAAAAATCAAAAATTATTCAAATAAATTTTCTTCTTCTTGATTTAGATTTATTTATGTATATTTGATAGAATTTTTTTTAGAAATATTTATATTTTTCTTACTATGATTAAAATTTTTTAAATTATTTAACTAAATTTAATTATATACTGGAATATTAGCCTAATATTTCTATTTTCCATATTCATCTGTAAGAGTTTAGTAATTTTCTTCGTCATTATTGCTTACAATAATTGAGTTATTTTGTTCTTAATTATTACAAATTTAATCTTGACTTATATCCAAAATAGGGTTTATAGGTTCTTCCCCTTTGATTTCGCTTTAAGTTATATTCGTATTTTATTTCAATGTATCATTTACGGTTATATTTTTTGAAAAATAGCTTTACATATTAACATTGGGCTATATTTATTTTTAAATATTCGTATCTAGAAGATTATAAACTTCCTCTTCATTTTCATCTTTTAAATTGTATTATTCATCATCATTAAAAATTAATTTTTTTTAGAAATAATATTATTTGGTAAAGAATGTATTGATTTTGAAATATTTCTTTCAAGAAAACTATTTTTATTTATTTTAAAATTTATAGATTTTAAAGAAAATCTAAGACTATTAATATTTGGATGATAATTTTCAGTAATTTAAAGAGAATTTTGTCTTGGTTTTTTAAATTTATCTTATTCTGTATGCAAAGAAAAATTTTAAAAATCATTATTATTATTAAATAATTTTAATTTTTTAAAATTTATTTTTTTAGTAGTACTATCGGATTTTTTAATAATAGTTATTGATTATTATTATTATTATTATTATTATTATTATTATTATTATTATTATTATTTTTATTATTATTATAAATAAATACTTTTTTTTTTATCTTTATTTTATAAATTATTTGAATTTTCTTTTTTTGATAAACTTAATTACGAATTATCTTTTTTTGATAAACTTAATTACGAACTTTCTTTTATACTTCCTGAACTTGTATATTATTTTGTATTTATTATTTACAAAGATATCTATTTTCTTTAATTCTATCGATTTTTATTTTTTTATATAAATATATTTTTATTTTAAATTTCCTTTGAAGATTATTAATAATTATTTAAAAATTTTTTTATTATAAAAATTAGTCTTATTTTTAACTTGATTCTAATAAATTGTTAATATTTTCATTTTAACATGTACATTTTTAACAAAATACTTCTAGTTTTTATATCTAATTTTTTAATTGTTATTCTTATTATAAATATTATTTCAATTAGTTTTCCTTTTGTTATAATAAATTATTTTTAAATTCATTTATATTTTATTTTTGTTCCAATTCGTTTTCGAGCTTTAAATTTGTTATTAAAATCAATTAATTTTTATTTAATTCACGTTAATATTTCTTTATTTATTTTTATATAATATATATTAAAATTTAATTTTTGAATTTTTTATTTAATTTTTATAATATATTTTCTTTTAAACCATTTTATACATTTTAAGTTGCTCTTTAATATATTTTATATTTTCTTGTTCATTCATTTTTTTTGTTTTGTTTATAATTTAATTTTTTATTAATTTCCAAATAATAATTTAAATTAAAAGCAAAAATATT